TATTGAATGGAAAACTTTTAAAGAAAATATTGCAGGTGTCACAGACTTCCAGCAGGAAGCGCTGAGAGCCATACTTCCAAGCAATCGATGCCAGAGTCGCTATTAAGATGGGAGGATGTAATGGGGATTCGATTATGGGGATTTAAATTAAGAAAATAAAGTAATAAACTCTGCAAGGTATGTCGGCCCACCCGTCATATTAACTAATTGCAAGAGTCACTGTGAATACCTTCACAGTCCTTGTGTTTCCTCTGTCATATGCTGTTCATCGTGCCATAGAATTAAAATAAAATGAAAATTCCACACGGCTATGTGATTCCTACTGCAAAGAATCAGAGGGAAATCCCAGGCAAACTTGCTGATTTTTTTTTAATTTGATGCATCGTAGGCCATTAATTTGCGTTTTCTTGTCAGTTTAGAAACTTTGCACAAAAACACATACCAGGATGCTGGCTAATGGGATGCCTGTTGAATGAACAAATGGAAGGCGAGATCTGCTTTTGAGTTAGCTCACTAGAACAGGGCTGGGGAACCTGTGGCTCTCCATCTGTTGCTGGACTCCAGCTCCCATCATTCCTTATCATACTTGTCATGCTGGCTAGGACTGATGGGAGTTGGAGTCCAACAACATCCACAAGGCCACAGGGGGTGTGGTGGAGGGATGACATGACACAGCTCAAAAGCAGCAGGTGAGATGGATGCACCTTTCTCCACATGAATGAAAGATGCCTCAAAACATTTGTCTTCCATTTCTTCTCTGGCAACAAGAGTTCCCTAGTTCAGAGATGGGGAACCTGGAGAACTCCAGATGACATTGGATGCCTACGCCCATCAGCACCAGCCACACTGGGTGGTTTTACAAAAACTACCCCTGGCTTGGTTTTTTTGACAGCAGCTCTCTCCCTTATGTGAACGAAACCTGAGTACTTACATCGTTATAGAGCTTGAATGCCTTCTTCACATAGCCAGCTCTGCCACAACCACCGATCAGGACAGTGTAGTTGCTTTCTTCTGGCCGAACACGTTCCTCCTTCAGCATTTGTACCTCAAACAGGTTCAAAGCCTCTGCCAGCTACAGTTAAGAGAGGACAACTGTGAGGACACAGCAGGAACTGTTGCTACTGCAGGGCCTGAGGAACCTTTCTCGGCCCAAAGACCAAATTCCCTTATGGGCAACCCTTCCACGGGAACAGTCCCCATTGGCATTTTAATGTGTATCTTTGGATTAAACATGGGCAGGTTCCAGGTCGGAATAGGTTGAAGACGGCTGCACAAGATCACACTGCTCATCTAGCTCACGAATTGGGAGGTGCAGGCAGAAGCCTTGTCTACTGACCCCACCTCTACGGGCCATGTGTGACAGGTGGGCATCACAGTGGCATTGGATGACCCATTTTTGTCAGTATGGTTTGACACCTTGCTTCACAAGCCCTGAGGATCAGCTGGTCGTTGAGGCTTGCAAAGCACTGTGCACAGGGTTTTGGTGATGTCAATGATATGGTGTTGGGTATGGGCTTGGCCAATATTAGGACTGCGGACTGAAGGCTCCTTAACCCTGATCCAGCCCAATATTGTCTACTACACTGACTAGCAGTGGCATCCCAGAGTCCCTGGCAGGTGCTCTATTCGAGCACTGGGCAATGGCCTTTCACTAGCTATGCAAGTCTATTCAATACTCTTGCAATGAAGACAGCTGAGATAATGACCTTGCCTTCTTTTATCAATGCCTTGCACTTCAAGAAATACCAATACGGAGTGTTCCTGGGACCTTGTCTGGGTTTTGGTTCCAATTCTTTCTCTTCCTCCACTTGGCTTTTGAGTTGCAAATCGTGAAATTCTTCAGAAGCTTTGTGAAAAAATTGTCTAGAAGAAAATTTTTGAGACAACAACCCAAAGCCTTCGTCGTCATCAAATTTCTCTTCTTCATTGCTGGCTGCTTCAGGGGTGGTGGCAGAGTGTGTCTCTTTCGGATCTCTCCTGTGTAACTTGTAGACCACTGGGGATGAACTAAAAGGTCTCAGGGCCAGAAATCTGAGATGATGTGCATTTCTAGGCCCTGCCAAATGTTTCTTTGAAATGGACCTCAATCTGGAAGTAGAACACAGCCAAGGATAGAAAGAACCTCTCACAGTGAAAAGTCCTGCAGGGAAGCAATGGTATATCAGCTGCAAAGCCATTGTGGTACCCGCTTTCGTCACCTTGTTCTCCGATTAGACGGCCATCTCCTAGAATCCAAATCCAAAACCTTTATATATCTATATCCTTAATTTTTTCAAAAATAAAAAATAAACAAACCTGCAGTGGCTTCTGTTAAACATTAAAACAATGATACATCAAAAGTAAAACAAGATCATAAAAAGTAAACACAGCACTGATCAAATTGTTGTATCACATCAGGGATGGAGAGCCTGGGGCTCCCTAGATGTTGTTGGACTCCAAACTCCCATCAGCCAGCAAGGCCTACTGCTAGGAATGTTGGGGGTTTGCAGTCCAGTAACGTCTGGAGGACCACAGGTTCCCGATGGGCCTCTTGAGTTCAACGGGTAAGTTAGCCATAGGTACAGGACTGCAGCCTTAGTTAGACACTTTAAGTAATTTATAATTTTGAGTTTATTGTACTTTGCATGTTAGCTTGCTCCAGCTTTTCTTTGCATTATATTGATTGTAAAAAAATAATAATAATAAACTGAGGCCCATTAATTTAAATGGGTCTGTTTTGAGTAAAACTCAACTGCATTCAACACTTTAGCTATACTATTATATGCTGCTCTGAAATCTGTTTTGGTGAGGCATTAGTGACATAGTTGAAAGGAATATTTAAAAAATGGTTTAAAAGAATAAGGGTGAAGAAGCTAGAATAACATTATGTCAAATTTAAACAATATGATATAAAGGAAAAATTGGAGACATAATAGGTTGAAATGTATAATATAGAATAAGATTTGAAAGAGGGTAAGGTACTGCTGAATATGACTCTGTAAAAGGGAACACAGAAAAGGGAGATGTGAGGAAGTCAGGAAAGAGGGTTATAAAAATAATAAGTAAAAAATTGGATTTGTATGTCTTTTTTATGCTTTTCTTTTTTTTCTTCTCTTTCTTTTTTATGTTTTTTACTGTATTTTTTTTTACTTTATTGGATTGTACTAATGTTTTTTTCCTCTCTTTTTTTGTTTGACTGTGAAGTTTGTTTTACTGTTCAAAACTTTAATAAATATATTTTTTAAAAAGATGAAATCTGTTTTGGTGAAAGGTTGTGTGGAAACATTTCAAACAAAGCTTCTTATTTTAAATGCATCCACTTGACTGTTTTGACGGGTGGAATTGGCAATACTGCAAGTTCCACCATAATACCCATTCCATATCTGTAACAACTTGATATTTTAGTGTGGCAGCACCTGCACTTTGGAACTCCTTGCCTGTGGAGATCAAGCAGGCGTTTTCATTGTGCTCTTTTCGTCGCCTGCTGAAAAGAATATTCCTGTTTAGAGAAGCCTACCCAGGTGCTTAGAAATAAGCTTGCCATATGTCAGGAAAATTCCTGACATGTCCTTGTCTTTGGGTGTAAAAAATGGCGCCGGGGGCAAAATGTCAGGGAAAACTCGGGTGCATGGCAACACGATGGAAAAAGCTCAACAATTTTGCGGGTGTCAGGAATTCTAGTTCTAGCATTTAAACTTTGAAAGTAGGGTTGCATTCCCCCCCTCCATTTTACTGTTTTCTCTTTTTGTAAACCGCTCCGAGGGTGTTGTCGGTTTTTTTTTTTTTTTTACAATCAGGTGCTACGTAAAATTTACAAAACAAATGAACGAAGCTTCTCAGGGCTGAGGGAAGAAGCCCCCCATTCAATACTTCTAGGCAGTGGTGTCTTCCATCAGATGTCAAGGAAATAAAGAACTACACAGCCTTTAGAAGACCTCTGAAGGCAGCCCTGTATCGGGGAGGTTTTAAATACAGTATTTGATGTTTTATTATGTTTTATATGGGGGCAACCCAGTCAAATGTTCGGACTATAAATATGATCTTTAAGATAATATTTTAGGTTATGTTTATTTGACTGTATACTCTACATTTGACTTTCTTCAGATTGTTTTATTTATGTTTTATTGATGTAATATGCTGTAAACCGCTTTGAGATTTTTCTTAAAATCATAAAGCGGTAAAGAAATAAAATAAAAATCATAAAACTATTATTATTATTATTGTTGTTACTACTACTACTCTTCTCAAGAGCAGTGTGAGGATCAGGTTCGGATGGGAAAGCTGAGGCCCTCCATGAGTTTTGCTGGACTCCAATTCCCGTCACCCCTGGCCACTGTGCTGCGCTGGCTGAGGCCGACTCTGGGACCCTCTTACACGGCCGAGGTAGAAGGAGCCTCCATGAGGCGCCACGACCACCTCCTCCTCCTCCCCTCTATATTGCGCGCACGCGCACACGGGCCGCCACTCACCCGCCAACGTTCCCTCCACGCGCGAGGCCAGAACTCCCGCTCGTGACTCCCGACTTCCCCGCACGCCTCGGCCTCTGAAAGTGGTAGGCGGAGCTTCTCGTTCGGGCTGAGGCGATAGGCCCACCTCGGCGCGAGAGCCGATTGGTTCGCTCTTCCTCCGCCTTCTTCTTCCCTCCCCATAACAATGCTTCCGACTCTTTAAGCGAGGGGAGGCGGGGCCGGAAAGAGGAAAGCGAGAGAGACACGCACCATGGCTGCGCGAGGGACTTTACCCCCGCCCACCCAACTGAAGGGGCGGGGCCTAGTCTTATTGGCTGAGCCGGAGAGCGGAGGCGGGCCGTGCGGGTGCGCGTGCGCCAGCCCCGCAGCTCCCAGCATCCCTCGCGAAGGCCCGTCGCGTTGGGATTGGAGGGAGCTGGTGTCCCTCTTACTCGCGCGCGCACACAAGCGTTAGGCTCCTCGCTCGCCCCGCCCTTTGGTTTTACCTCAGTTTTCCCTCAGAGCCGAAGCGCTTCGAGGGGAGCGGAGATACTTCGCTTCTTTGCCCAGTTTGCCTTCCTCGAACGCACAGCCGCCGCCGCCATGCAGGAACTTATCGCCAGCGTGGATCACATCAAGTTCGACCTGGAGATCGCGGTGGAGCAGCAGCTCGGGGCGCAGCCGCTGCCCTTCCCGGGCATGGACAGTACGCGAGGGGGCGGCGGAGGGAGGGAGGTCAGGGAGGGCCGCGCAGGAAGAGGCAGACCCAGACCCCACCCCCCCTTCTGCTCTTCCCGGTGGAAATGAAGACGGAGGGAGAGGGAGGCAGAGGCACACATTGCTATTATTATTATTATTATTATTATTATTATTATTATTATTATTCCCAATATACTGAATAGGGGCCTTCGAGGGAGGTGCTAACTTGCAGGACACGTCACGGAAGGGAGACAGAGCAATCTTTGTTCCATGAGGATGTATAATTTTTGCTGCTGCATCTAGGTTTTGAGGGTTTTTGTTTTGTTTTTTAAGCTTCTTTCAGAGTCTCTGGGATTTAAGTGTTATCCAAATAAATTATATCAGTCGTGTGGTTTACGATCCCAAAAACACATTCTGGAATAACTCCCCTCCCCAGAAGAAACTTCTCCTTGAAAGAGTAGGCCCTGTTGAATTTGGCAGCGCTTATTTTTGAGTAAGGCAGTGTAGGTTTGCCTTGTGAGTCACTGAAGAGAAGACGGATGGATTAAAATATGAATCAAATTTATTTAAAAGGGGGAAAATTGAACCTACTTAAAATCCTAATGTAGGAAGAGCCCTGCAGCCACCCAGATTCCACTGGAAAACCCTCCAGTAGCGCATGAAAGCAACAGCTTTCTCTTCCTATTGTTCCGTAGAAAAGGACTCTGAGATATGCTGACTCTTGATTCCAGAGTCCAGATTCCAGATTTAGCCATCATAACTATGTGGCGGTACTCTCAAGACTGGATTACTGCAGTGTATTTTTGGTGGGTCTGTCCAGATGCTCCAGCTGATGCAGAATAGAATGGCCAGACAGCTGACAGGACCACCTGGCCAACAACATTCAACATCATTATTAAAAAATCTGTGCGGGCTGCTCATCTACTACTGAGTCAAGTTCATTGTATACATTTACAAAGCCCTGAAGAACTGAGATCCAGAGTGCCTTCAGGACTGCCTGAGCACTTATATCCCAGCTCATTCCTTCAGATCATCTGCAGGAGTGTTGTTAGCTGCCTGCCCTACCTTTGAGTTGCTGAGGCTCATTTGACATTGACACAAATTATGGTCTTTAGTGTCATTGGTCTTGTGCAATACTCTGCCAGTAGAGCTTCGGCAGGTGCTTTCTGTTTCAACTTTTAAACACCAGCTGAGAATGTTCCACCAGGCTTATGTAGGCAATTAAGACTACATATTTCCATAATTAGTGGATGAGTCTCCGATTCTAATTTTTGTGTGTTATTATGTATATAAATTATATAAACCACTTTGCTATTTTAATGCTATAGCTGTATATAAATCTTTTAATCAATCAATAAATGACTAGTTGCTGTTGATAGTGCCCTCCATCAATCACACTTGTGTCATACTTTGTGTTTTACTCTGTACTTAATAAAAGGATGCATTGTATGGTTTTAATTTTGGCCTGCTGACTGATAAATTGATGATGGTGGTAGACTAGCGAGTAAAAGCAAAGATGCAGCTTTGTAGGATTGAAACGATATTTGAGAAGTCAAATAGTCAACAGCTGTAAACTTTCCATAAAACTGCACCAAAAAATGCCTTCAAAAATAATAACTTATTTACTTGCCCCCAAAGCCACAGTAGGAAGCATAATAATAATGGCTAGCATTTATATAACACTTTAGAGAATTCAAAACAGGCAAGCTTTGGGTGAACAAAATAGGTAGCCAGCTTAGTACAAACTTCTCTTCATGGTGCATGTGGGCTTTCAAGTTATCCAAAACATTCTCAGGATAAGGGAAGAAATGCTAGGAAAACATTTTCTGGACTTCTACTTGTTACATAGCTATGAGAGGCTCAGGAACACTCTGTATGTTGCCCCAGCAGTTCCTGTCAGTGCTGTGACAGTCTGAATATGGACTTTAAAAAAAGAATATGAAATGTGTGCTCAGCCATAAATTCATTAGATGATACTGGGTAAATTTCCATCTGAAGACTTGAGTGATTAACTTGTATAGCGGTCTTCATTTTAATGCAACTGTTGAAACTACAGAGGTGTGTGATATAGGGAGCTTCATTGTGAATCTCTTTTTCCACAGAATCGGGTGCAGCTGTCTGTGACTTTTTTTTAAAAGCGGCCTGTGGAAAAGGTAAGCCACACCTGCAAATTGCTGTACTAGAAAAAGATGAAGCAAAGCCAATTAATAAACCACAGTCCTTTATTGTGAATCAGTAGTTAGTCTTTATTGTTTATATACTGCATCAGTGTATGTACCACTTGACAGAAAAACAAGGAAGTCTTGTTAGGTATGTGGACATAAGATGTACAAAACTTTGTATTATTTTCCCCCCAAGATTTTTATTAAAGTTTTCAAAATGTTACAAAAAGAAAAAGAAAAAATACAAAGTAAAAACAGTTAAAAACAATTCAATATTTCCGTGTCTTATCTTTCATTCGCTTGTTCCCCAGACCTCCTCACACCTCCTTTTTTGTATCCAGTTCAATTAGTTGGTTCAGCAAATCCTTTCCCTCTTTGTTTTTATCCTAATCTTTAATCTTAATATATTATAACTTTAGATTATCTCCTGTTAACAATCCATTTTTACACATCTTTATAACATTACTGCTGAAAACCACTTAACTTCAATCCCACATCATTCTAACATTCATTAATTTTGCAGTATTTCTGTAAATAGTCTTTAAATTTCTTCCAATCTTCTTCCACCGACTCTTCTCCCTGGTCAAGATGTACAAAACTTTGTAGAACTAAAGGGCCTCCAAGCAGACTATCAGTCCCTGGTACAGCAAAACTACTTTTTTGACCCCATTGACTTACAAACAGGTATCAGAATAAAAGTAATACATTAGGATCTCGTGGTTTCCAAGCTTCTATGATTTTTTGAGAAGACATGATTTTCTATTCATGGACCCTCCTCTCATTTTGACATCTCTTAGTCATCCTATCTGCCTAGAAGACTATGAGGGGAGAAGTTGTTTCTACCATGTTAGTTCTGCATATATTATCTATGAACAATATGCTCTGTGAGCCAAACATGTTTCTTTGACCTAAAGGAAAAATGTAAGACCTGCCTTGATGCTTTCTACCCATAATTCAGATGGGGTGTGTGTTAAAGAGCATTTCTTTTATCTCTTGTTTTCTGCACAATAGGAGGAATGTGTCCCTTCCGGCACATCAGTGGCGAAAAGACAGTGGTTTGCAAACACTGGCTACGAGGGCTGTGCAAGAAGGGTGACCAGTGTGAATTCTTGCATGAATATGACATGACTAAGATGCCAGAGTGTTATTTTTACTCAAAATATGGTAAGAGGAAATATGGTATCTGCGTGAGCTTTACTGGTACTGTGAAGGCTTGCCTTGTACAGAGGAAGTCACTCAATACAAATAGACATTTATGAAGCACTTTAAAATGTTGAGGGTACTTCACATATATTGTCTCAGCAATCCTTACAATAGCTCCATAAAGTAAGGTCAGTACTGTATTACAATTCCACGAGGAGATGCTTGCCTAACACCACCCACTGATGACAGAAATTTGCAACTTTGTGATGTATAAATTTTGATATTAGATTCTTGATACAGATTTTGCTGTAGCTGTTTTATGTATTTATCCAATAGCACTTATTCTCTATATAGAATGTACCAATGAATAATTCGATTCTGGTGTTCCTGCATTGTGTAACTCTCATGTGTATCTCCCACATTGTGTAAACCACTGAATCACTGCATTCCATGCTTATCTGACCCTGGAGTATTTTTTTCCAGCTAGTCAGAATGTTTTGCTAGGACAGTTTTAAGTTAGCACTGGGGTGTTAAACTAGCATCTCCTTGAAGCTTTCCTAGGCCATGTGGGAATGGAATGTCATAGTTCCTTTCTGAAGGCCTGGTTGTCAAGGCAACTGTGTGATAAGTGCAAAAGCTGAATGAGGGGAAGTTGCTAACACAGTGGAGCCTGACATTTTACATCCTTTGATGTTTTATGATGTATGGCTATGTGTGTAGAACTCTATAAAAGCTTTGCTCTACTGTTCAATCAGAGCAATCTTTCTAACTGGCAGTTCATTGCTAACCAATGGTTAGTGGGCCTGTCCTATTGAGCAATAGCTTTTCTATTGTTTTTAATTTAAAGGTTGGTTCCCTCACCTGGGCAAGAACCAGTGGTTTAGAAGTAAATTCTTACTATATTTGTAATTCCATATTTTGGTTGCTATACTGTACTGTCCTAGGTCTCCATAGACACATCAGCCTTGAGTTGTAGTTTGGGTCATGTGAAATCATACTGCTTTACACATTTTGGGGCCATGTATTAGGATTGGCAGTAACACAAGGGAACGAGATACGTTACCTTGCAGTTCTCTCCAATAGGAGCTGGTTTTTGAGCTAAACTTACTTGCAGTGAACATCAAATTCTGTATTTTATTATGCTGTCTGGTGCAATTTAGAATTTCTCTTCCCAAGTGTTTCTAGGACAAAATAATCAAATATGTGTATAACCCTTGAGTGTGGGCATATGGCCATACATTGAGTAGTTCTGTTCGAAAATTTGCACTTTTAGTTGTTATCATTGTTTCATGATGTGCTGTGCTGTCCATAATGTACTGTGAATTTCATAATTTTTATATGCCTTATTTGTTTTGGGTTGCACTTGAAGTGAAAAAATATCTGTTAGGTTGGCAGGAGGTGATTTAGTATAACATAAGTAAAAACCTTAAATTGTCTTCATTCTGAATATGACTCTTTATGCTTAACTTTTTAGAATCTTTATTTATCTGGCTAGAGAAGGTTTACACTACCAGAAGAAAGCCAAGATTCTAGAAAGCCAAGATTCTTGTGAATAGCAAAAGATATGCATTCAAGTTTTTCCTGATGCTGTATCATTGTTCTGGGAAAACTGTTTGATCTTGATGCTGATGCACAATGCTCTTTCTCTCTTGGTTGGTCCAGTAAAGTCAGTGTTTGTCTACTGCAGGGGAATGCAGCAACAAGGAATGCCCATTCTTGCACATTGACCCAGAATCTAAGATCAAAGATTGCCCTTGGTATGACAGAGGTTTTTGTAAACACGGTATGTATACCTCATATTTCTGCCGATGGCTGTGTAGCTTGCTAGCCTGCATCTGTGTTGACTTCCAACATAGATTTGCTTTGCAACCATAATGTGAAGCTGCAACACCTTGCACCTTGGGAGAGTCCCATCCCTGATGTCTGGCATGAGAGTTGGCTGCTTAAGAATTTGTCTGCATTTCTAGGAAATTTCTATTTGTGGTAGTGAGAAAATCTCTGAAAATGCACAATCCTTGCAGCTTGGTCAGAAATCACAGGTAGCCTTGGTTGGCTCGGCTTTGTGTGTATACAGCGAGCCTTGTGTATCCTGAATGTTTCCTGTGTTTGCATATAACAGATATAACCATAAAATCTTTTATTGCAGGCCCCCTCTGTAGGCACAGACATACTCGACGTGTTATATGTGTGAATTATCTGGTAGGCTTCTGTCCAGAGGGCCCCACTTGCAAATTCATGCAGTGAGTATGCTTCAGGATTATTTCTGCTGTTTTATGTTTCCCCTTTAACCTTATACATCATAACTTCTATATCATACACTGGTATATATTAATTTCTTTGAAAGTTGCCCCAGGCTCATTCACAAGTGTCACGGGCTCATCCACCATGCCCTCTGCCATTCAAATGTATCCTGGAAATCTTTTAGGCTGGTTCCATAGTCAGAATATTCCTCAAATGAGTGATGAGAAAGTGCTGGACTCTTCTTTTTTGGGTTGAAGAAAACATTTTAAACCCATTTCTGAATAAGCTCCATAGTAGTAAGAGAGAAAGACATGGGAGATTTAGAAGCCAGAAAGTTAGGAAAGGTTGAGGAAAGAAAGTTCTGCAGAGCCCCGTCAATGCCCTGCTTTCTGGAGCTAAGATACGATCCATATGGGAAGGGCCTCTTAGATACTTGAAGGTCTCAAAGCTTGGCCCTGCCTTCTGGAGCAGCTGGGAGGAGATCCAGTGTAGGATGAGGCCGTCCTTCACTGTCAGAAAACACATGGAAGTGAAATGGTCTTGGAAAATGATTATTGCATTTCACAAATATATTTCTTAACCTACTGAGGCTTGTGGCTTCCCAATAAGGCAGGCTTGCACAGAGTTCAGGTTTTGCTCAGGGTGTTTTGCTATCATACTTGAAAATGGGAAGATATTGTCAGGTTGAAAATGGGAAGATATTGTCAGGGACGCGGGTGGCGCTGTGGGTAAAAGCCTCAGCGCCTAGGGCTTGCCGATCGAAAGGTCGGCAGTTCGAATCCCCGCTGCAGGGTGCGCTCCCGCTGCTCGGTCCCACCGCCTGCCAACCTAAAAGGTAAAGGTACCCCTGCCCGTACGGGCCAGTCTTGACAGACTCTAGGGTTGTGCGCCCATCTCACTCAAGAGGCTGGGGGCCAGCGCTGTCCGGAGACACTTCCAGGTCACGTGGCCAGCGTGACAAAGCTGCTCTGGGGAGCCAGAGCCGCACACGGAAACGCCGTTTACCTTCCCGCTAGTAAGCGGTCCCTATTTATCTACTTGCACTCGGAGGTGCTTTCAAACTGCTAGGTTGGCAGGCGCTGGGACCGAGCAACGGGAGCGCACCCCGCCGCGGGGATTCGAACCACCGACCTTTTGATTGGCAAGCCCTAGGCGCTGAGGCTTTTACCCACAGTGCCACCCGCATCCCCAGGGGTACCTTTACCTTTATTGTCAGGTTGACAGTATCCCAGAGTTTTGACTTTCCAAAGCAGCATGGGGTATGGCTTGTTCCCAAAAATTTGGCTGGAGAAAGTACCTCATGCTTCTTTAGCCTTGAGGGTGGGCTCTTCCTCAAGCTGCTCTGGTTGTTGGTTACTGGCCTCTGAATGGTTTGGTTGGGGAGAATCTGTTTCTCCTTCCTGTACTAGCGCTGTATGTAGAAAATACTTTCTCATTGCTGTAGTTTCTGTATTCAAGCAGCAAAATGTAACATGGAGAGGAATTATTTTCTGTTGCTCAGGACAGGTATGAACTCTGAAGCTGTAAGGGGGAGATGTCAGTGGTTTGAGGGTCAATTTAATCTTTGTATGTTTCCTTATGTACACTTTCTTTTTAAATTAGCCCTCGATTTGAACTTCCCATGGGAACCACAGAGCAACCACCACTGCCTCCACCAACACAGCCACAACAAAAGGTATGCAGTACCCCAGTTACATCTACAGACTTCTGCAGCATCTTCTGAATGCCAGAGAGTTAAGGTTGTTGAAATAGTTGAACACCAAACATACAGTTTATATCCTTCAGAGAATAGAAATCGCAAAGCACCATTGTGAAATCATTGTGAGGAACTTCTTTTTTTATTTGAACGGTATATCTTTTTATGCACCATTGGTGTTCCATTCTCTAGTCAGGTACTGTGGGAATTTCTTGCTATCTGAAGGTTGGGTGTTACATACTGCATTTGTAGAAGCCTTGGCAAAAAGAAACATACTTGGGGGTAGTTACATTTCAATCATGATTCAGGGCAATGGTACTTTTTTCTGAATTGATCAATGTGTGGGCTGCTTTTCCCCCCTCTCAGCAAAATAACAATCCACCACTACAGAGGTCATCATCCCTCATCCAGTTAACGAGTCAGAACTCTTCTCCCAACCAACAGAGGACCCCACAGGTCATTGGAGTTATGCAGTCTCAAAACAACAGCATGGGGAACAGGGGTCCTCGGCCATTGGAACAGGTCACCTGTTATAAGGTAAGCTGAAGCCTACAGGTTGTAGGGGAAAAGATTGGGGATTATTAAAAGTATGCACCCCAAATCCTGAGTTTTGAAAGTGAAATAAACATAGTTGCATTTTATTTTCATACATCCAAGTGGAGAGTGTTGTTTCAGCCAACTTTGAAAAATAATGGGATTTAGGGACTTGCACTACTTTGCATTATTACATATAAGCACCTAAAACATCCAAGCACTGTACTGTAATGTTTAAGAAGACAGTCCTTTAATTGCAGGGATAATCTAAAAAGGAATATGTAAGAGTATGAAGCAGCAAAGCAAGGGATAGGTATTGAATAAGGAAACTCCATCTCTGTCTTGGGAACCTGCTTACACCTTTGTGAAAACACCTTTGTTAATATGGCTACACCTCTGGAAGTTGTTGCAATGGAAGGCATCTTACGCAGGGAAGGTACATATATGCAAAACTCAAGTAAAAAACTTACCCAGATACAAAATTATCTGTCTCCCAAAGTGTGTGTGACAGGGTGGGTAAAGAATTCCTCTCTATCTATATTAGCAATGACAAATCTCTGGCCGATGGTCCTGATTTGCCCTGCCAGGCTGATTGGACCAAGGCATGCCCACTTGTCACCTGATGTGGCTTTGAACAGTACCAAATTCAAGCTGAGGCTGCAAATGAACATTACTTACAGCCATAGATTAAATTTAGTGCTGTTTAACATTTGGCATCTTACTCTGTTGTCACTGCTTTCAACAGGGATACCAACCACTTCCAAAAGCAGCACCACAGGGAAAGGCACCAATTCAAAGTTTCAGTCATATATAAACTATTGACTTCCAACCTTGGGAGTACTTTAGGAAGGAAAATAGGTTTCGTGCTTATCATTTGCATTCATGCTAATGTTTTTATTCGAAGCTTTTAACTTCCTGCATTTTAATAGCTTCATTTTTTTTTTTGTCCTCTCTCCAGTGTGGTGAAAAAGGACATTATGCCAACAGATGCACCAAAGGACATTTGGCATTCCTTAGCGGACAATGAGCCAGCAGCACCTTTTAAAATATGAGGGCCGAGTTTTGCCTGAAACCACATTGAACTTGTTGAGCCATCTTTTTCCCCCAGTGACTAAACGAAAAGGACAGCCTACTGAGGACTACTTACACACAACCTCTTTTTTTGTATTTCATTTGTTTTACGTCTTAGAACATAAGTGGTGCCTGCCTTTATTCAGACTGCCCAGCTGGGAAGCAGGCTGGAGAAAAGCTTAATACACAAGCCTTCTTCCAAAATAGAATATTTGGAATAGGCACTCCTTGTTCCAATATCCTTCGCTTGGAAGTCTTTCATTTTTTCAGCAGTCCTTGGCTATGGGTGGAAGGTGGGAATTAGCTCATGAGATGTCATGAGTTGCACAGCTGTGCTGTGTTCTGCACATGCTTAAAATCTACACCCGTGCTTTCCTTGTAAAGTGTTTGGTCCAAGGGTTATTGGTATGTCACAGGGAGGGGGAAGGAGTTGGCATTATGCTGAAGTCCAGTAGAATGCCCTTGCCTCTCTAGCCAAGATGAAGTCACAAAGCTACACAGCTCATGTCCTTTTAACTGATTAGTCAGAGTTGAAAAGCAAAGGTATTTAAATTTATTATGCATTCATAGTTTCAAGTAGAGGGACACGTGTGTGTATAAACTCATGTTACATGAAGATTATATGTACCTTTTCATAAGCACCTTTCCACAATCCTACCACAGAACTATACTCGATTTTTGATGGTAGAATCTGCACTTTCTGAAATTTGTCATACAATTCTGACCCATTATCAAGAATTGCCCAAACTATCTTTAAGCATTTATTCCCTATTTTAAAGGGAGAAACTTTGATGTTAATTTATTTAGTGTGACTTTAAAGGGAGATACTTTGATGTTAATTTATTTAGTGTGACTTTGGGGGACAGAAAAGGAGCACATGCTTGGGAAGAACTAACTGAGGTCCTGCATCACAACATAAATCAGGATATTTGATTGATTTTTAAAAACTGCCAAGTGCATAATGTTATCTTGTAGATTGAGCAATTATATAGCAGGAACAGTGGTTTCAATTTTACTAAGGAGTTACTAAGGAATCTTCCTGCTGCAAAACAAGAGCATTAAATGTCCCTTATTAGAGAAACCAAAGGAAAGAAGCTATACTATTTCACTTTGGTTTTGTTGCTAGGGCCAGACTGAGCCTACCTCTAAAATGCACACAGCTTCAGTCACCTGAACTAAATTACTCTGCAGACTTGAGTAAGTTCCAAGGATGTCATATAGTCTCTAGATTTTGTTAACAGCACTGACTATGTCTAATGCTCTTTACTCCTTCTCCTTACAACTTCAGGCAATTATTCACTCATGGGCTGTGGTTACCAATCCCTTCAAGCACCAACTTAATGTAACCCCCCCCCCCCGTGCCCGCTGTGGGATCAGTTTGTTTGTTACCTTGTAGTGATCAAATTAGTTCCATCAGTCACAAGGAAAGTAGATATTTTATTATTGGTCACAGAATACACTGTTGAGTCTAGAAGGTAAGAGCCAATCTGCATTCAGTTGAAGCAAACTCACTACGAGTCGCAGTATGGCAGCTTGTATTCTTCTGGTCCATCGAGCTTCAGTGATACTTCCTCCAGCGATCATGCTCTGAATAGCCAAAACAAACAGTTGCAGAGTCTTTTGGATATTAGTATATGGAAGTGCATCCTTCATTTAAAAGGTTTATCCCATATTTCCATGTGTGTTCAAAACAGCTTCTAATTACCATGACAAAGCTAAACAATGACATACTGTATACGATCATTAACCAAATACCTGGGGAAAATGGGTTTTACCTAACGCCTGACAGCAACATGGCATCCAATTAAACATTCAGGTTCCCAACAGTAAGCAGCTATATGCATCTGGGAAATTTACAAATTTCCCATGAACACAACCTCCCCATTTCTCCAGGACAAGTACTCAGAGCTATACTTTGGCCATGTAAGTTCAATTTAGGTATCCCAAGAAACTTTAGTAGTTCCAAAAGGAAGAGAGAGAGTGCAACTGATGCAACCCACCATGGGTCGGGGCATGAAGCATGAGCAGAAAATCAACAGAACACATGCCTTTCCCTAAAAGCATTAAGAATTCTCCTCTCAGAGGACTTACAGTACAATCGCATCTTACGCAGGGAAGGTACATATATGCAAAAACTGCTATACTTGAACCACCCATTAGTGTCCTTACATTTCCAGAGCCAGAGCACTGAGTGGGCCTTGTCCCCCAAGCAAGGCCATCACATCATGTTGGCTCTAGAAGCCTAAGGGTGGTCATGCAAGTTCTTGTGGGAACCTGGGACGGCCCCACAGTATCTTGCAAGAGCACCCCAGAGCCTGCCTGCTGAGCAGGGCTTGCCCAGTAAGCAAGGGAGGGAGGTTAAAAGATCTCTGCTTTGCATGCATTTATCATGTAAAGTTGAAATCGTGCAAGATAAATGTGCGAAAGATGCGACTGTACTGTATTTACTGCTGCTTTTTAGGTACACACAATGAAAGTTTTACTCACTTATATGGTCGAAGCTCCACATGTAGCTGAGAACCACATAGGCAGTTAGCATCATGGCGACGCCACCAATGCCTGGTTTCTTCACATCAATGTACTTTTTGACAAATCTGTCATAGCCTAGTGAAAAAGGAGCGTAGTCTTAGCCATACAGATAGCAGAGAAACACCGTAGTGATAAGTGACAGCTACACTAAAAAGCTAACAGAATAAGGAAGTCTTCAGCCCAATATCACTACTTTTGCAGCCTGTTTAGTTCCATTGAACTCAGTGGCCTCAATGAGACCTACCTTTCTAGCTAGTGTACTTCGGCTTATAGCCCAAGTAGGAAATTTATCAAAAATCAGGATTTTACAACAAGGCTGTACCATTTAGTTTATCTAAACACTTTAAAATGGCTACATTAAGACATATGCTTAAGAACAAAGGGAAAGGGACTGGGAACTCAGGTTAAAGCTGCAGCTCTGTAGAAGAACGAAGGTTTTGCAAGAGGCCTTGCGTTCAATGCCTTCCTGTCCAAGTAGCTGGGCTCGGAAATAAAAACCTGCTTGAGATGTTGCAGAACTACTGCCAGCTCTACATGGGGTAACAGCCCTCTGGTTTTTTATTCATAAGCAGCCACTGCCTCTGTATGTTTTTATGCTACTCCTGTTGATTTTGCAGTTTTTAGTATATGCTTGTTTTTTGTTTGTTTTAAACTGAAGGGTGGTGTACAAGTCCTTTAAATAAGTAGGAACGAAGGCCAGAAACTGCCTGTTCAGGGTTGTAGTTCTGTGTGCATTTATTTGAGTGTGCCAATGAGCTCAGTGGAAGTTAGTCACGAGTAGAAATGCAAAGGATCTGGCTGCAAGACCGAGGAGACTTGTGGCTCAATCCTATGCCTTTTTACTTTTATGCTACCAAATTCAATAGAAATATACTCCCAAGTATGTATTTGGATCACACTGTGAATGCATCAAGTGGGATTAAAAATCTGAAGGTGGATCACAACTAGATTGTCAAACCCCATGAAGCCTTTATTTCGTTGGCAAATTAAGAGTATTTCAATGGAAAGTGTGATCTGTTGTACACTGAATCCTGCCAGTGCTTCTCAGGCATAACACTATTGGCATAAACCTAATAGGAGACTTCTGAGACCCTGGTTAACTGCACACAAATGTGTGGTTATCTGCACACAAAATGTCGGCGTTGAACAGTTTAAATATTCAGCAAGACAATCACATGCATACAATTCCTGCCACAAATATATGCTCCACATCAGATGTTTCCCAGACACTCACCTCCTCGGATACTCGTAACAAACCCAGCTGGGGTATAATCTCGAGTTGCTAACCAGTTTGGCAACTGCCCCACTTTTACATCCAGCAGCCTCATATCTTTTACTGGAACTAAGAGAAAAAGAATGTGAGGGTGGGCATCTGCTATGACTTACCCATCCCTATTCCAAGGAGGAGGAACAAGTGGTAACATAAGGTTCTCCCCCACACCTCCCCTCGGAGGCGACCACCGACTTCTGACATTTTCCAAAGATGAATAGGCAAATTCATGGAGAAGAAAGCTATTGGTGGCTTTTAGCCATCACAGCTATGGCACAGCCTCTTCGGTTGGAGGCTATAAATACTTCCCAATACCAGTTACTGGAAACTGCAGGAAGGGAGCGTTGTTCCTGTGCTCAGGTCAGAGGCATCTGGTTGGCCACTATGAGAACAGGATGCTGGCCTAGGTGGGCCATGATCCGTTAGATCAGATATGTCCAACCGGTCGACCGTGATCTACAGGACCTATTTCCGTGGGCGCCACGTTGACATTTATTTTCTCCCCGCCGGTGGGGTGGGGGAAGAAGGTGGGCGGCCGATAGGTGGCTTCATCGCTGCTTGCGACTGTCAGCGATTTCTTGTAACCCTCCTTAAAAAAAAAGCTCAACATTTCTGGGCAACCCTCCCCCTAAAAAGCTCAACAACTCTTTCCACCCACCCCACGCACGCACGCTCCTATTTCCTCCAATGACAATGGGTTTTATACTCCCAGTATTAAAAAGCTGCCAGATTTTTTTAAATATTGGGAGTAGATCGCAATCTCTTGGGAGTTGAACGTGCCTGCACTGGGTTATTCTTATGGGGTGGGGGGCAGGGGAGTTCGAAGCTTTGTCTGCCGAACTTCTGCCTGACACTGACACACAAATGCAAAGGAGAGCTGTTGGGCGGCAACAAAGAGAAAAGCTGGGGTGAGAAACGGTGGCCTCAAGAGCGAACCCCAGCAATGAAGAAGAGCAGCGGCCTGGCGCTTGTACCCAGGGCTACCTTGAGAAGGGCGTCCTTTTCTCAGAGGCGCTCCCTTTCTACTTCCACAAGCGCTTCTTCTCCGGGTAATGGGAGCAAGTTAATCCCAGCACCTCCCAAGCCCTGACAGGAGCCGGGTCACCTTGGCGTCTCCCTCCCTCCAAAAGCGCTTACCGGGTCGGTCCGCCATCTTGAACCTGCCGCAGCGCCTCCCTGCTCCTCCGCTCGCAAGGGCTGCCGGGAGAAGGTTGCGCGCGCGGGGGCTCGTGGGAAAAGAAGGTCGCCCTCTCCTTGGGCGGTGTAATAGGCGGGTCTGGCGGGGGGAGGGGAGGGGCTGGGCGGAGCTAGTTTGGGCGGGAAAGAGAAGCCAAGCGATTGGATAAGAGCGAGACGTTCTCCTCACAGGTGTTTTTGGCGACCATCCTTGGCGCGCGCATACTTGAGGGG